GGAGCTGGAGGCCATGCCTCCAGGGTTGAGGCCTACCCTGGGCGTGTTCCAGGCCGCCTTGGAGCTGACCAGCCAGTGTGAGCTGCACCCTGACCTCGTGTCTCAGACTTTTGGTTACTTGTTCTTCTTCTCCAATGCATCCCTTCTCAACTCGCTGATGGAAAGAGGTGAAGGTTGGCTGGGAGCTGTCAGGGAGGCAAAGATGGGAACCACTGAGACTCAGGTCAAAGTAGACACACCACGGGCTCAAGCCTCACCTTTGGGTACCCTGGAGAACAAGCTCCAGATCCCAGGCTGAAGGATAGGAACAGTCTGGGAGGCAGGAGGACAGAGTCCAGCTAACCAACTTCCTCTCATACCTTTAATGCCCACAGGTCAAGGCCGGCCTTTCTATCAGTGGTCCCGAGCTGTTCAAATCCGAACCAACCTGGACCTTGTCTTGGACTGGCTACAGGGAGCTGGGCTGGGCGACATTGCCACTGAGTTCTTCCGGAAACTCTCCATGGCTGTGAACCTGCTCTGTGTGCCCCGCACTTCCCTGCTCAAGGTGACTGCTGGTCAGCTGTACCTGACCCCTGACCTCTGACTCCTCAACCCCCCTCAGCCACCTTCTGTATTCAGCTCACCGTTGGAACTCCCCTTGAACCCCATGCCATCCCCAGCTCAGACACTGTGGGTAACACATTGGCAGGTAGAAGGAAGCCAGCACCAACAATGACCAAACTCGGCTGTGTCTGAATCCTGGTGGAACTTACTAAAAATGGCTTCCAGGCCTGGGCCAGGCACGGTGACTCACGCCTGTAATCCCAGCACTTTGGGAGGCCGAGGCGGGCGGATCACGAGGTCAGGAGATCAAGACCATCCTGGCTAACACGGTGAAACCCGGTCTCTACTAAAAAAAAAAACCAAAAAATTAGCCAGGCGTGGTGGCGGGCTCCTGTAGTCCCAGCTCCTTGGGAGGCTGAGGCAGCAGAATAGCGTGAACCCGGGAGGCGGAGCTTGTAATGAGCCAAGATTGCGCCACTGCGCTCCAGCCTGGGCAACAGAGCGAGACTCCATCTCAAAAAAAAAAAAAATGTTTCCAGGCCTGGCGTGGTGGCTCACGCCTATAATCCCAACACTTTGGGAGGCCTAGGCAGGTGGATCACTTGAGGCCAGGAGTTTGAGACCAGCCTGGCCAACATGGCAAAACCCTGTCTCTACTAAAAATACAAAAATTAGTCAGGCATGGTGGCGCACACCTGTAATCCAAGTTACTCTGGAAGCTGAAGCAGGAGAATCGCTGGAACCTGTAAGGCAGAAGCTGCAGTGAGCCAAGATTGCACCATTGCACTCCAGCCTGGGCAACAGAGCGAGATCTTGTCTCCAGAAAAAAAAAAAAAAAGTTTCCAGGGTCCCTCACTCAGACATGCTGAGTCAGAAAGTCTGGTATGAGACCAAGGAACATGTTGGTTAAAACATTCATTGAACATGAACTACCTGCCAGGCACACTGTTTAGCACTTCTAGTTTAATGCTGACAAAGCCCCATCGAAGTAGGTGACTATTTTTCAGATGAGGAAACAGAATCAGGTAGGACAGGTCACTTGATTTCATTTATTTTTCCTTACTTATTTATTTATTTTTGAGACGGAGTCTCACTCTGTCACCCAGGCTGGAGTGCAATGGCATGATCTCGGCTCACTCCAACCTCCGCCTCCCGGGTTCAAGCGATTCTCCAACCACAGCCTCCTGAGTAGCTGGGATAACAGGCACACGCCACCACACCCGGCTAATTTTTGTAATTTTAGTAGAGACAGGGTTTCACCTTGTTGGGCAGACTGGTCTTGAACTCCTGACCTCAGGGGATTCGCCTGCCTTGGCCTCCCAAAGTGCTGGGATTACAGGCATAAGCCACCATGCCTGGCCAGTTTCAATTATTTGTATTTTCCTTTCTTTTTATTTATTTTTTTAAATTTTATTTATTTATTTATTTTTTGAGACTGAGTCTGGCTCTGTCGCCCAGGCTGGAGTGCAGTGGCTGGATCTCAGCTCACTGCAAGCTCCGCCTCCCGGGTTTACGCCATTCTCCTGCCTCAGCCTCCCGAGTAGCTGGGACCACAGGCGCCCGCCACCTCGCCCGGCTAGTTTTCTGTATTTTTTAGTAGAGATGGGGTTTCACCGTGTTAGCCAGGATGGTCTCGATCTCCTGACCTCGTGATCCGCCCGTCTCGGCCTCCCAAAGTGCTGGGATTACAAGCTTGAGCCACCGCGCCCGGCCTCCTTTCTTTTTAAATATCTTACAAAACTGTTCCCCATAGACATTTATTTATTTATATCAAATGTTTATAATGGGCTGGGTGTAGTGGCTCATGCCTGTAATGCCAGCACTTTGGGAGGCCAAGGTGGGAGGACCACTTGAGCCCAGGAGTTTGAGACCAGCAGGCAACACAGGGGAGACACCATCTCTACCAAAAATTTTAAAAATTAGCCAGGTGTGGTGGCACACATCTGTGGTCCCAGCCAGAAGCAGAGATGGAAGGACTGCTTGAGTCCAGGTGGTTGAGGCTGCAGTGAGCCACAATCATGCCACTACACTCCAGCATGGGTGACAAAGGAAGACCCTGTTTCAAAACAGTAAGGAAGTTTACCATGCATTTAATAAACCCCAGGCAGCATTCCAAGTACTTTACAATTTTGCCATATTGCATCCTCATACCAACTCTATTAGATAGTTCCTGTTCTCCAAATTTATGGATGAGGAGACTAGGGGATGGTGACCTGCCAGAAGGTAATAAGTGACCCACTGGGATTTTTGAACTCAGGCAGTTTAGGTGGAGTCTCTGATGTTAAGTGCATTGATGGTTCTGATGTCAGCTACATCAGGTGCAGACATCGTCAAACAGATACAAAGAGTGGCTACCACAGAATAATGAATCCCAGCTAGGCGCAGTGGCTCATGCCTGTAATCCTAGCACTTTGGGAAGCTTGAGACCAGCCTGGGCAGCATAGTGAGATCCTGTCTCTACAAAAAATTAACCAAGTGTGGTGGCATGTGCTTGTAGTCACAGCTGCTCTGGAGGCTGGGGCCAAGGATCACTTGAGCCCAGGAGTTTAAAGCTGCAGCAAGCCATGATCGCACCATTGCACTACAGCCTGGGTGACAGAGTGAGACCCTGTCTCTTTAAGGACAAAAAATAAAAATAAAAAAAAAAAATAATAATCCCCAAGTACCATCGTCATATTCAATAATATAAACGAATGGCCAATCTTATTTACTTCCAGCCCACTCATTTCCTGTATCCTCATTTATCCTGAGGCAAATCACATTTTAAAAAATTGCTGGGAGCACACCCTTCCCCACCATCACTTTGGTGATAAACAGACTTCACAGTGCCCGGAAGACACTGCAGAGATGCCATTATCTTCCCGCCACACCCACTCCCGTTATGGAAGCCCTTCCATTTCACTTCTCAGCTGCCCCGTAATGACCATCAACCTCTCACCTGGTCTTCCCACCAGGCTTCCTGGAGCAGCCTAAGAATGGACCACCCCACCTTGACCCCCGCCCAGCTGCACCATCTGCTCAGCCACTACCAGCTGGGCCCTGGCCTCCAGCCGCCAGCCGCGTGGGACCCTCCCCCTGCAGAGCGGGAGGCTGTGGACACAGGTGAGGAGCAACGGGATACAGCATTGGGGCTGTCAGCTTTCTTCTTCTTCTTCTGAGACGGAGTCTCACCCTGTCACTCAGGCTGGAGTGCAGTGCGCGATCTCGGCTCACTGCAACCTCTGCCTCTCAGGTTCAAGCAATTCTCCTGCCTCAGCCTCCTGAGTAGCTGGGATTACAGGCGCGCGCCACCACGCCTGGCTAATTTTTTGTATCTTTAGTAGAGACGGGGTTTCACCATGTTGGCCAGGCTGGTCTCGAACTCCTGACCTCGTGATCTGCCCGCCTCGGTCTCCCAAAGTGCTGGGATTACAGGCGTGAACCACCGCACTTTTCTTCTTTTCTCAGGATCTTGGAGTCCAGATCCCCAGTCTCCTTCTAAACCGATTCTGGACCCCTGTCCCTCTCCACCAGGACATAAGTGCAGGACCCAGCCCCTTCCCCCCTCAAGATACAGGAGTTCAAGCCCCCAGCTCCCTTTATTCTCAGTGGTTCGCATCCCTAGTCCATTCCCTCCACCAGCCACCCACCCACCACCCCTAGGAGTCCAGGTCTCGGGACTTTCACTCCCCTGAACTTGACTCCTCCACCTTTAGGAATCTGTAAGGCAAGTTCCGAGCCCTTCCTCGGGGATTTGGGACGCCGTTTCCCAGGCAGTAGTGGCTTTCCATCGTCTGAATTACAACTTCCATCATGCCCAGGGGCTCCTAGAGTAGCGTGTGAACGGACCCTGCCCCAGGAGTTGCTGGGGTTTGAAGTTTTTTTCTTCCTTTGGGTGTGACGCAGCCTCTCCCCGATGCAACTACCTCACTCCCACTTTCAGACTCTAACCCCGCCTACTTCGGTCTCACAGGTGACATCTTCGAAAGCTTCTCCTCGCACCCGCCCCTCATCCTGCCCCTGGGGAGCTCGCGCCTGCGCCTCACTGGTCCAGTGACGAACGACGCCTTGCATCGTGAACTCCGCAGGCTACGCCGCCTCCTCTGGGATCTTGAGCAGCAGGAGCTACCAGCCAATTATCGCCATGGGCCTCCCGTGGCCGCGTCTCCATGAGAACCAATACCAAACGAGAGCGCGCACCTTGAAATGTCGCGGGCTTCCACTGACAGGAGCCCGCCTGGGCGCAGAGCTTTATGGGAGTTGTAGTTCTTGTCGCGCGTGGAATGTTGGGAGATTGAGTTTTCGGGAAGCAGCGGATGGGACGGTGGGAGCATGGGCTTAGGATGTGAATGCCAAGGACAAATAAAGGTATCTGTGGTATCGGCAGCGCCTCGATTGTTAAGACTTGGGGGCGCTAATGATGGTTTTCTGCAGAACAAGGTTGCAGGGCCCTTGTCTGGGCCCCTGCCGAGTCTGAGTAGGTATTTATAGCCACGGCCTTGGCTCGCCCTTTTGCATGTAATCCAATCCAAGAGCACAGGAGCTTCCCACACCCCTCAGAACACGGCCCTAAGCTTGCTCTGCCGATTATAAGGCCCTCAGTCCTGCCAGTGGGAACCAGCGATGTCTCCCTTCGACCCCCACCTGCAAATCCATACTCCAGCCCCCTCCTCCCTCAGACCCAGGAATCTGAGTCCCCAGCCCCCTCTGGACCTTTGCCTGCTGGGCACACTGCCGAATCCCAACACCTCTGTCCCCGTTCCCAGCACCCCAGAGGCCCCCGCCTCTTTTTCTTCAAACCCAGGAGTCGAGGTCCCCATCCCTCTCCTTTCTTGGATCCAGGAATCTGGGCCCCCAGTTTGAACTTTTCACTCCCCTGAACTTGACTCCAGTTGCTGCGTCAGGGAAAAAGTAGGTGACAGGTGGCACCTGCCGGCAGGGCCGGGACACGACCACCTGCCGCTGCTGCTCACTCGGCGCCCCTCTCCGGGCACCTGCTTCTGTCAGTCCGCCTGCCACCGCTCCACCCCACCCCACAGCCCCAGGACGCGCAGGGGGAGCGAGCCGGGGAACCCTGGCGTCCCCCCTCTACCCCCCAGCATCCCCCCAGGCCCGCTCAGGCCCTCCCAGCGGGTGCTCCCACCCCTTCTCAGGGTCCCCAGCGGGGCTCCCGGCACACCCCAGGAAGGTGGGTTGGAGGCGGTCCCAGGCTGGTGGGGCGGAGCCTGCGGTGTCCAGCCTCGGCCTCTAGACTCATCCTGCCCCAGAGCACAGCTTCGCCGAGCCCACCTGGTGAGAAGCCCCTGGGGTGGACGGGGGGCGCACTCCTCAACGGTTCTGTCCCCTCTCTGGTCCCAGTCCCTTCCCCAGAGACCCTGATGGCTGACACCCCACTCACTCCTTCTCAGATACAGGTCACAGGGACCCTTCTGTTCCTCAGAAACCTATCAGGGCCGGGTTCCCCTCTCCACTCAGGATCTTGGATTCTCTTCTTAGAGTATTGAGTTCCAGCCCTTAACCTCCTTCTCCTTCAAGATTCCAGAGTTCAGGCCCCACTGCTTCCTCCCTTTCCTTGATGCAGGGGTCCCAACCCACAATCCCTTCCTCCTCAGGACCTAGGATTCCCAGATCCCAGGTCCCTCCCCTCCCAGGATACCGGAGTTGAGGCCCTCAGCCCCTGTCTTTCAGACCAGGGGTCTAGGTTCCCAGCTCCCTCCTACCTCGGAGCAAGGTGTCCGGGTCTGCAGTCCCCTCCTCTACAGCCCCTGGGATCCAGAAGTTATGGCCCAAGGCTGCTCCTATTCCCACCTCCCTCGGGCCCTTTCCCTGCTGAATTCACTCACAGGGGCAGCCTTCTGACCTCCACTCTGAGCCAGCCCACTATGGGGCCCCTGCCCTGCCCCCTCTCCGTCCAGGTCCCCATCCCGGCCTTGGCAATGACCCTGGCGGCTTCCTCCCAGCGTTCCCAAATCATTCGCTCCAAGTTCCGATCTGGTGAGAGAGGGCTCTCTTCATGTGTGGGGGATGGGATCCTGAGAATGCTGTACTCTGGGGTGGGAAGGGAGGGGTGGTAGGACCCATGAGGCCTGCGTTTTTTGTGCAAAAGGTCACTGCATAAAGGAGGCCCCAGCACAGGGGTCCAGCTGTGGTGGATCGAGTGTGCAAATGGCTAGTACCACCCTCACGGGGGAGCAATGGGGATTGGAGGCCAGGGGTAGGCATGCAGAGTGTTCGAGCACTGTAGAGAAACAAGGGCTTACTATGGTGCACATGCAGAGGCAGAAGAGCAGAGGAGGGACTTCAGGGGACCAGTGTGCGAGTTTGGGTGAGGGGACAATGAGTTGTCAAGCTGTGAGTGCCAAAGGTCTTGTTTTAGGTCCCAGGGCAAGCAAAAAGTCTGCAAGTATAGCCGGGCATGGTGGTGCATGCCTGTAATCCCAGCTACTTAGAAGGCTGAGGCAGGAGAATAGTTTGAACCTGGAGCCGGAGGTTGTGGTGAGCCAAGATCGTGCCATTTCACTCTAGCCTGGAAAACAAGAGCAAAACTCTGTCTCAAAAAAAAAAAAAAAAAAAAAAAGTGCCAGTGTTTCGAACTATAGATCAGTTCCTGGGAAGGCAAAGGTACTTCAGTGCGCACATGAGATGTCTGTGTGATTGGATGGGTACAAAGACACCAGAAACCAAAGAGCAAGGAGTGTACAAAAAGGCGCATATATCCAGAGAAGAGCAGAAATGTGCAAAGGGAGATCCTTGCTCCCAAACTGGGGTACAAACCCTGAGTGTGCACATAAGATAGTTAACATTCATCCTGGCCAGGTGTGGTGGCTCATGCTTGTAATCCCAGCACTTTGGGAGGCCGAGGCAGGTGGATCACCTGAGGTCAGGAGTTCAAGACCAGCCTGGCCAACATGGCAAAACCCTGTCTCTACTAAAATACAAAAAATTGACGCCAAACGAGGTGGCTCACGCTTGTAGTCCTAGCACTTTGGGAGGCTGAGGTGGGCAGATTGCCTGAGCTCAGGAGTACAAGACCAGCCTGGGCAACACCGTGAAACCCCATCTCTACTAAAATACAAAAAATTAGCTGGGCGTGGCAGCATGCGCCTGTAGTCCCAGCTACTAGGGAGGCTGAGGCAGGAGAATTGCTTGAACTTAGGAGGTGGAGGTTGCAGTGAGTCTAGATCGCGCCACTGCACTCCAGCCTGGGTGACAGAGCAATACTCTTGTCTCAAAAAAAAAAAAAAAAAAAAAAAATTAGCCGGGTGTGGTGGTGGGCACCTGTAATCCCAGCTACTTGGGAGGCTAAGGCAGGAGAATCACTTGAATCTGGGAGGCAGAAGTTGCAGTGAGCCGAGATCATGACATTGCCCTGAAGCCTGGGTGACAGAGCGAGACTCTGTCTCAAAAAAAAAAAAAAAAAAAAAAAAAAAAAAAAGATAGTTAACATTCATCCTGGGCGACACAGCGAGACCTGTCTCTACAAAAAATAAAAACAAAACAAAAAAATTTAGCTAGGTGTGGTGGTGCATGCCTGTAGCCCCAGGTACTCAGGAGACTGAGGTGGGAGGATGGGTTGAGCCTGGGAGTTCAAGGCTGCAGTGAGCTGTGATCGCACCCCTGCACACCAGCCTGGGCTACTGAGCGACACTTTGTCTCTAAAAAAATAAAACAGATTAAAAAAAGGAAAAAAGAGTGTTAACATGGATGCTGAGGCACAGTGGGTCAAGGATGAAGAGTTCAAAAACACGCAAGTGCACGAAAATGGCATGTGTGCAAAACTAGAGCCCAAAGAGATGCACACTTAAAATGTGGATATGCGGAGAGTGTTAACTGTAGGAAGGCCCCCGGATAGCACAGAAAGTAGCAGGAGTGCATGGATAAAGGGAGGCGAGGTGCAAAGGGGCCAGGCTGCCAAGATGGCGATTGCGCAGGGGGTGGGGTGGGCACACGCTTGCTCATGGAGGGGGCAGGTGGAGCCAGGGGCAGGGCTGCCTCCTGCCTGCACGCTGGCTGGCTCGTAGCCCCAGAATGGCGCTGGCCCGCAGCGCTGCGCTGGCAGAGAGCAGGCGTGAGGCCGGAGGAAGGGAGCCTGCTGCCCGCCCACCCGCCTGCACAGGCTGTGTAAGGGGGCTGGGCACGCGTGTCCCGCCAACAACTGCAGCTCCCACCCGCCTGCCAGGCCAGGCTCCTGGACACTCCCTTCCCGCCTTCCTCCTCCCACCTCCCTCCTCCCTCCACAGTCCTCCAGCTTCGGATCCACAGACGGAATCAGGAGCAGAGTAAGTGTGGGCCCCAAAAGGGAGGGGATGGTGACTTCCCCGCCGATTGGGATATCCTGGAATACGGCTGCCAGATAGCCCTCATTGGTTCCTGCAGCTCAGTCCCCATCCCCGGGGACAGACCAAAATCCCAGCCTGTCCTTTCCCAAGGATCCAGGGGTCCAGGTCTCTGGCCACCCCACCCCTAGGAGCTCTGCTTCCTGCTTCTCCACCCCAATGAGATGCATGAGTTTGGATCCTGCTTCTTTGGAGAAGACGGGCATCCCAGTCTCCACATTTGGTATACACGAGAAGCTCTGGATGTAGTTTTTGTTTTTGTTTTTGTTTTTTTGAGATGGAGTCTTGCTCTGTCGCCAGACTGGAGTGTCATGGCTCAATCTAAGCCCACTGCAATCTCTACCTCCCAGGTTCAAGCGATTCTCCTGCCTCAGCCTCCTGAGTAGCTGGGATTACAGGCAGGCGCCACCACTCCCAGCTAATTTTTGTATTTTTTGTAGAGACGGGGTTTCACCATGTTGGCCAGGTGGGTCTCGAACTCCTGACCTCAAGTGATCCACCCGCCTCAGTCTCCCAAAGTGCTGGGATTACAGGCATGAGCCACCGCGGTTGGCCTGGATGTAGCTTTCAGCCTCTCCCTCTCCCCAAGAACCAGGAGTGCAGGCCCCACCCCTGTCCTAGCAAAACCTCAGACATCTGTGATCCTCAGCTACCACACCCCTTTGTGATAGAAAATTCCTGCTTTACTTGAGAATGTAACAATCGGGCCCCCCCACACCTCCGCCCTCAGATCCAGGAGTTCAGGCGCCCAGCTCCCAGCACTCAAGTCTTGCGCCCTGGCCTGCCCTCCCGCACCCCGGGGCCCCGCTTTCCACACAGCCTTGCTCCTCCCGGCCTGGCTTGCTGCCTGCAGGCCTCTCAGGGTCCTTCATCGTCTCTCCAGTCTCGGATCCAGACCCGTGGATCTCAACCTCAGGCCCTCCTCTGGCCCCGGCCTTGCCCTCAGGCACGGCCCCTTTCCTCTTCAGCCCTGGGGTCCTGCTCCCCGAGCCAGAATATTGTCCTCCTTGGAGGTCCCCAAAGAAGGTGAGTCTCGACCGGAGGGAGAGGTCCCTATGAGAGCCCAGCCTTTGTCTCCCTTGCTGCTGCTGCCATTTTTGCTCCTCTTTGGTGGCACCGAGCTGACTCTACTTTGCATGTAGCCCCGGGGCAGCAAGGTGGGAGCGGCGCTGAAGCCTAGCACATCATACCTGCTCTTCCAGGAGTCTCCCAAGATCTCCCAACGCTGGAGGGAGTCCAAGCCCAGGGGGAACTTGACATACCACCAGTACATGCCCCCAGAGCCGAGACAGGGATCCAGGGCGGACCCCCAAGCCGAGGGGTCCGCCCTGGGTCCTCCCGGGCCACCTCTGTGGGAAGGGACAGACTCGCAGCAGCCACATCCTAGGTATGATGCCCCTTTCTCTTCTCCCAGGACCCAGAAATTCAGGTCCCAGCATCTTCCTCTCTCAAACCTCGAGTCCACGATTAGGGGATTCGGGCCCCCAACCCCCTCCTCCCCCAGGGTTTAAGAGTCCAGGATCCCAGCCCCTCCCTTTGCCCTTCAAACCCGAGTCTGAACCCCTAGTTCCTCCTCCCCCATGCACAGAAATCTAGCCCCATGTTTGCGCCCTCGGAGACCCAGAATTCTGGGCCCTCACTTTTCTGCATCTTCCCCAGCCCCCCGTTTTTGAGGACCCCAGAACGCCTTTTCCCCCTCTACCCCTCTAACCTTTGTTCACCCCTCACGACTATCACCAGGATGAAGCCCTGTGTTCTCACTCCCTGCCCACCAGGAGTCCCTAGCCCCTCGCCCCCTCCACACAAGTTGGAACTTCAGACCCTTAAACTGGAGGAGCTGACGGTAAGTTTGGGGTGTAACTTTCCAGGCTGGCTCTCTCCTTCGGTGGGGTCCCAGAATTCCAACCCCGCAGCCTCTACCCGCTGGAAATCCAGGACATCGGGTACCCAGTCCCATCGTGTTTTAGGGTCCCAGGAGTCCGGACCCCCAGTGTCTCCTTTCTCGGCTTCCAAATATCCTGTCCGGCTCCCGCCTGCGCCCCGGAGCCCGCCCAGCACTGCCTCTTCCCACCCCCCCTCCCCAGGTCTCAGAGCTCCGGCAGCAGCTGCGCCTGCGGGGCCTCCCAGTGTCGGGGACCAAATCCATGCTCCTGGAGCGCATGCGCGGCGGCGCCCCGCCCCGCGAGCGGCCGAAGCCGCGGCGCGAGGACACTCCCGCGGGTGCTCCCTGGCCGCGCCTCAGGCCCAAGGCCCTGGCAGCCGCCCGGCGTCAGGGCTCGGTGAGGGCGGGGCTATGCGCGTGTGGACCAATGAAGAGAAAGCAAAGTGGGAGGGGCGGGGAGTCGAAAAAACTAGCCAATGAAGTATGGGGGCGTGGATCAGCGGTGGGAAGCCTTGAAGCGAGGGGGCGTGGTTCAGAGCAATGGGGGGAGGATCTTTAGGGAAGAGGAGCTAATGAAAGAATAGGAGGCGAGACCAAAGGAGGGGTTGATGAGCAAGGGGTCGCGACAGGATCAAGGGGTGGAGCCACACGTTGCGAGTGGGTGGGGTTGCGCCCGGTGGGCGTGGCTTATGGGAGCTACCCCTCCTGGCTGTTCTAGGTCAAGCCCAGCGCAGCATCTCACAGGCCACCTCTTCCACGTGCGGTGGATACCCCGGGCACGGCGCCGGCTCCAACTACCACTTCGGCTCCTGCTGCAGCTCCAGCCCTGAACCCTTCCTCAGCGCCGGGCTCACCGGCTCTGACTCTGGAGGAGGAGCTACAGGAAGCGATCCGGAGGGCGCAGGTAAGAGGGTGTGGGTTGAATCCGGCTAGGGTTCTCTAGTCAGGTCCAGGTCGGAGTCCGGAGTTCTCGCCGAATTTCTCCATCCGCAGTTGCTTCCGAACCGGGACATCGATGACATCCTGGAGGATCAGGTGGAGCCTGATGGTAGGATCTGAATTCTTAGATTTAGGGAAGGTAGGGGCTGAGGTTCCGGACTCCTACGTCCAAGGGAGGCATGAGCTGGGGAGCTGGACTCCTGGAAATGGGGTTTAGGGGGCTGGCGCCCGGACCCCTGACTTTCCCAGCTCACGTACCATTCTTTATCCCGCAGACCCCCTGCCCCCCATTCCCCTGGACTTCCCTGGCTCCTTCGACGTGCTGTCCCCTTCCCCGGACTCTGAAGGCCTCTCGTCTGTTTTCTCCTCTTCACTCCCATCTCCCACGAACTCCTCCTCCCCTTCTCCCAGGGACCCCACGGACTCCCTGGACTGGCTGGAGGCCCTGAGCGGGGGTCCTCCTCTGGGTTCTGGTCCCCCACCCCCCAGCATCTTCTCTGCTGACTTATCTGACTCCAGCAGCAGCCGGCTGTGGGACCTGCTGGAGGATCCGTGGTGATGGATTCTGGGATTTACAGAGACAGAGAACTGGTGGGGGTGGAGAGAAGCTCTTTGGGGGAGGAGAGGGAACTACCAGCAGAGCCCCTCCTACCGCAGACACAGGATGGGAGACAACCTCCAACCCCACCTGCCTCCTGAAGTGCTGCTGACATGCAATGCAACTGCCTGAACTTTGCCTACCTGGCCTCCTTATGATCCCCCTCCGGGATGGTACGGTTTGGGGGCTTCTTTTGCTGCTGGCCACAGCAAACAAGCTGCTTGCTGCTTCCTTCAGAGGCCTCATGGATGTTTTTACATGCTCCCGACCCCAGTAGATGGCTGTCTGTTGTTTGGGGAGCCTGGAAGGTGGTTATGTCTTTTGAATGCAGGAGAGGAGCAAGAAAGAGTGGAGAGGGAGAAAGGGGGAGCCAGACCCTGACCTCCCGGGGTTGTGGTTGGAGATGAAAAAATTAGAAGCATCAGGTCTAAGATCAGCTTCTCTTGGAAGCAGAGTCTGAGACAAGATATAAATGCCAGTGATTTATTAAAGAAGTGTTCTGCCGGGCACGGTGGCTCATGCCTGCAATCCCATCACTTTAGAAGGCTGAGGCAGGTGGATCACCTGAAGTCAGGAGTTCCAGACCAGCCTGGCCAACATGGTGAAACCCTGTCTCTACTAAAAATACAAAAATAAAAAAATAAAAAAATAAAAAAAATAAAAAAATTAACTGGGCATGGTGGCATATGCCTGGAATCCTGGCTACTTGGAAGGTTGAGGCAGGAGAATCTCTTGAACCCGGGAGGCGGAGGTTGCAGTAAGCCAAGATCGCTCCATTGCACTCCAGCCTGGGCAACAGGAGAAAAACTCCATCTTAAAAAAAAAGGAAAAAAAAAAAAAAAAGAGAGAGAGAGAGAAAAAGAAAAAAATGTTCCCAGGAGAAGCCAGTAGAAGAGTGGGGAAAACAGGACGGCAAAGGGGAAGAGGAGCAAGAGGTGACCTCAGGTGAAGTGCCAACCTCAGCCTAATCCTGCAGGGAGCTCCAGAGCACAAATTAAGTTGTGGAGTCTTTCCCATCTTGGGACATATGGAACTGGGCCTTTGTATCTCCCTGTTTGAGCTTGTAGCCGAACAACAAACCACCCCCAAACCGGCCTCAGTGGCAAATGCCTGTAACCCCAGCACTTTGGGAAGCTGAGGCAGGCAGATCACTTGAAGCCAGGAATTCAAGACCAGCCTGGCCAATATGGTGAAACCCATCTCTACTAAAAATACAAAAAAACTAGCCAGATATGGTGGTGGGAGCCTGTAATCCCAGCTACTTGAGAGGCTGAGGCAGGAGAATTGCTTGAAACAAGGAGGTGGAGGTTGCAGTGAGCTGAGATCATGCCACTTCACTCCAGCCTGGGCAACAGAGTGATACTCCATCTCAAAACAAACAAAAAACAAACAACAAAAGCCCACACCACCCCAAAACTTAGAGCTGTAAAACAATAACTATACATGATTGCTCACAAATGCATGGGTTGACTGGGCTCAGCAGGGCAGTTCTTCAGTTCCATGTTATGTTGGCTAGAGGTGCAGTCATCTCAGGGCCCACCTGGGCTAGCACATACAAGATGGTACATTAGATGTGTGTGGCACCATGGTGGGGATAGCATGAGGACTGGGCCTAGCTGGGTTGTGGGGACATCTGGACTTCTCTCATTCTCCATGCAGTGTCAGCACTGTCCCTCTGTGGCCTCTCCACCAGAGTAACTAGATTTCTTGCATGATAGCTCAGGGCTCCCAAGAATGAGTATTCCAAGAGGGGGGAGCCGAAGCTACCAGTCTCTTAAAGACTAGGCTTGAAATTGGCACAATTTCTCTTCCATTGTATTTTATAATTAATGCAAGTCGGGCAACCCGAGGTTAAATATGGGAGGGCACTATACAAATCTGAATATCAGGGACGTGCTCACTAGGGGCTATAGTTTGGAGACTTGCCACTACACCACCCCTAGTCAGTCATGAGCCATGGGTCATGGAGGGAGGGAGGAATAAACTCCCAGGAACCTCCAGCCCAAGGGCAGTCCTGGGAAGAATGTCATAGGGTAAGTTATTCGCGGCAAAATGTTTTAAAATGTAGGTTTCGGTCGGGTGTGGTGGCTGATTCCTGTAATGCCAGCACTTTGGGAGGCCGAGGTGGGTGGATCACGAGGTCAGGAGTTCGAGACTAGCCTGACCAATATGGTGAAATCCAGTCTCTAGTAAAAATATAAAAATTAGCAAGGCATGGTAATGTGCGCCTTTAATCCCAGCTACTCGGGAGGCTGAGGCAGGAGAATGGTGTGAACCCGGGAGGCAGAGCTTGTAGTGAGCCAAGATTGTGCCAGCCTGGGTGACAGACTTCATCTCAAAAAAAAAAAAAAATAATAATAATAATAAATAGGTTTCAGGGCCAGCACCATGGTTCATACCTGTAGTCCCAGCTACTCTGGAGGCTGAGGCAGGAGGATCACTTGAGCCTGGGAGTTTGAGGTTGCAGTAAGCTATGACTGCACCACTGCACTCCAGCCTGGGCAACAGATCAAGACCCTGTCTTTCAGGAAAAAAAAAAAAAAGGCTGGGTGTGGTGATTCACACCTGTAATCCTAGCACTTTGGGAGGCCGAGGTGGGTGGATCACCCTGAGGTCAGAAGTTTGAGACCAGCCTGGCCAACGTGGTGAAACCCCATATCTACTAAACACACACACACACACACACACAAAAATTAGCCGGGCGTGGTGGTGCACACCTGTAGTTCCAGCTACTCGGGAGGCTGAGGCAGGAGAATCACTTGAACCTGGGAGGCAGAGGTTGCAGTGAGATAAGATCATGCCTGCACTCCAGCCTGGGCAACACAGTGAGACTCCATCTAAACAAAACAAAACAAACAACAAACAAACCAGAAGAGGCAAGGTAAGCAGGTTTGAGATTACCTAGTTTGAATTTCAGCAGGCTCTGGAGCCTAAAGGTTGTCCTGAGTTTTTGGTACCTGGCCCGGGGGTAATTAGCACAGGTGGATGGTGGCTCAGGGAGCCTGTGCTCATAAAGGTGTGGATGGGGTGTGGGCTCTGGATTGGTTGGTTTACATAGGAAAGGTGAGTAGTTGACTATCTCTAGCATTTGGGGTTGCTGGAGTGGGGATTTAAATCAGATTTAGTATGTCATAACTTAGTCCACAAGGAAAAAAAAATCAGATTTAGGCTGGGAACTGTGGCTCACACCTGTAATCCTAGCACTTTAGGAGGCCAAGGCAGGAGGATCGCTTGACGCCAGAAGTTCCCAGAACAACCTGGGCAACATAGCAAGACCCCATCTATGAAACAAAGTGTTGCTCTTTCATCAAGGCTTGAGTGCAGTGGCACAATCATGGCCTCTACCTCCTGGGCTCAAGTGATCCTCCCACTTCAGTCTCTGGAGTTTCTGGAACTACAGGCACACACCACCATGCCCAGCTAATTTATTTATTTAGAGACGGAATTTCACTCTTGTTTCCCAGGCTGGAGTGCAATGGCACGATCTTGGCTCACTGCAACCTCCGCCTCCCAGGTTCAAGCTATTCTCCTGCCTCAGCCTCCCAAGTAGCTGGGATTACAGGCACACACCACCACACCTGGCTAATTTTTTGTATTTAGTGGAGACGGGGTTTCACTATGTTAGTCGGGCTAGTCTCGAATTCCTGATCTCAGGTGATCCCCTGGCCTTGGCCTCGCAAAGTGCTGGGATTACAGGTGTGAGCCACCACACCTGGCCCGGAGACTTTCCTGACTGTATCGGTCTCCATATTAATCTGTCCCCATATCTGCCTGACTCAGGTCACTCTGTCCTGGTTCTATCTTCATATCTCTTATGTTCTCTGTCTGATTTGCCCTCTGACTGTTCTCTCTTCCCTGTCTCCGTCTCCAACTCCCTCCTGCCCTTTATCTCTGATGCATCCATCATCCCTTTCAGTCTCCGCGCTCATCTCTCTGTGTCTCAGGCACTCTTTCAGCTTCTGCCAGGCACCCCGCCTGCCCCCATTGCACCTTCCCCATCTCGCCTGCGTCCAGAGGGGGCAGTGTTGAGCTGAGGGTACACTTGGTCCCTGCACTGCCCCAAGGAGTCAGGGCCAGGAAGCGGGCTTGGTGGGGTGTGTGTCTGAACCTCAAGCCTAATGGAAAGTCTTGCCTCTTGCACTGCCGACCGCCGGCATCCAACCCTTCACCAAAGACTTCATCCCTCCCTCCTGCCTCAGGAAAACCAGGGCTGGACTGAGGGGGATCAGATGGGGAACCCCAAGGAGCACCTTCCTGCTCTGCCCCAATCTCGACAGAAGATGGATATTTACATCATGAGGCCTGAAAAAGACCACTAACATCAAAATACCAAAATCACTAATGTATCTTATAAACATATTCCCTCCCCAGAAGGGTATAGTCATATTCATTGTGTAGACTGAAAAAAATATTTCTCCTCCTCCTTCCTCTCTTTTTCCTTCCTTCCTTCCTTCCTTCCTTCCTTCTTTTTTTCCCTTCCTTTTTTTTTTTTTTTTTTTTTAATTTGAGATGGAGTATCGCTCTTGTTGCCCACGCTGGAGTGCAATGGTGCGATCTCAGCTCACTGCAACCTCCACCTCCCGGGTTCAAGCGATTCTCCTGCCTCAGCCTCCTGATAGCTGGGATTACAGGCATGCGCCACCGTGCCTGGCTAATTTTGTATTTTTAGTAGAGATGGGGTTTCTCTGTGTTGGTCAGGCTAGTCTTGAACTCCCAACCTCAGGTGATTCACTGGTCTCGGCCTGCCAAAGTGCTGGGACTACAGGTGTGAGCCACGGCACCCGGACTCCTTCCTTCCTCCCTCTTTCTTTCTTTCTTTCTTTCTTTCTTTCTTTCTTTCTTTCTTTCTTTCTTTCTTTTCTTTCCTTTCTTTTTCTTTCTTTCTTTTTCTTTCCTTCTTTCCATCTTTCTTTCTCTTTCCTTTTTCTCCTTCCTTCCTTCTCTTTTTTCTTTCTTTTCTTTCTCTTTCTTTCTCCTTCCTTCCTTCCTTCCTTCCTTCCTTCCTTCCTTCCTTCCTTCCTTCCTTCCTTCTCTCTTTTCTTTCTCTCTTCTCTCCTCTCTGTCTCTCTTTTGAGTTTCACTCTGTTGCCCTGGCTGGAGTGCAGTGGTGTGATCTCAGCTCACTGCAACCTTCACCTCCTGGGTTCAAGCAATTCTCCTGCCTCAGCCTCCTGAGTAGCTGGGATTACAGGTACACGTCACCGCTCCTGGCTAATTTTTGTATTTTTAGTAGAGACAGAATTTCACCGTCGGCCAGGCTGATCTCAAACTCCTGACCTGAAGTGATCCACCCGCCTTGGCCTCCCAAAGTGCTGGGATTACATGTGTGAGCCATAGCACCTGCTTGCCTCAGGATCTAATTGTATCTTTTCAATTTTCTTTCTTTTTTTTTTTTTTAGACGGAGTCTCACTGTTGGCAGGCTGGAGTGCAGTGGTGCAATCTTGGCTTACTGCAACCTCTGCCTCCTGGATTCAAGCAATTCTCCCGTCTCAGCCTCCCAAGTAGCTGGGACTACAGGTGCATGTCACCATGTCTGGCTAATTTTTGTATTTTTAGTAGAGACGGGGTTTCACCATGTTGGCCAGGATAGTCTTGATCTCTTGACCTCGTGATCCACCTGCCTCAGCCTCCGAAAGTGCTGGGATTACAGGCGTGAGCCACTACACCTGGCCTGTACCAATTATATTTTGAAGTGACTTGTTAATGCCGTCTTGGGAGCAGGGGTAGTGTCTCCTAGACTGCTTTCTTATACATGATAGGTGCACAGTACATATTTGTGGGTAGTCTGGAGAAAATACTATAATATTGGGATCTATAAAATCATTGTAAAAGTTGCCTTTTTCTTTTTCTTTTTTTTTTTTTTTAAGACCAAGTTTGGCTCTTGTTGCCCAGGCTGCAGTACAATGGTGTGATCTCAGCTCACTGCAACCTCCATCTCCCAGGTTCAAGCGATTCTCCTGCCTCAGCCTCCCTAGTAGCTGGGATTACAGGCATGTGCCACCACGCCTGGCTAATTTTGTATTTTTAGTAGAGACAGGGTTTCACTATGTTGGCCGGGCTGGTTTTGAACTCCTAACCTCAAGTGATCCATCCGCCTCAGCCTCCCAAACTGCTGGGATTACAAGTGTGAGCCACTGCGCTCAGCCAAAGTTATCTTTTTGATTCAGACTTGTAACAGGATTCCATCTACTCCTAAGATTTTTTTTTTTTTTTTTTTTTTTTTTGAGATGGAGTCTCACTCTGTTGCCCAGGCTGGAGTGCAATGGTGTAATCTTGGCTCACTGTAACCTCCGTCTCCCAGGTTCAAATGATTCTCCTGCTTAAGCCTTCCAAGTAGCTGGGACTACAGGTGTACACCACCACCCGTGGCTAATGTTTTGTATGTTAAGTAGAGACAGGGTTTCACTATGTTGCCCAGGCTAGTCTTGAACTCCTGACCTCAGGTGATCCACCCGCCTTACCCTCCCAAAGTGCTGAGATTACAGCCACCATCACTGGCCTAAGATGTACTTTGGAGTTCATGTGATACTCATGTAATAAACTCTCAGAGAACCTTTTCTCCCATCCTCAAAGTCATAATTGTGTTTATTTATTTAAGAGTCGGGGTCTCACTAGGTTGTCCAGGCCGCAGTGCAGTGGCTATTCGCAAGTCCAATCATGGTGCACTATTGTTCCAAACCCCTGGCATCAAGCAGTCCTCCCACCTCAGCCTCCCTGGTAGCTGGAAATACTCCACTCTATGACTGTGTTCACACTGGTGATTAAATACAAATTATTCCTTTGATGACTGTGTAATGATGAGCTGCCAAATTAACTGACTGTGGAGCTGGGCCACTTCCGGTCTTGTGTGATACGTATGATCATGGTCTTTGCCCCTGTTCATTTCTTTTTCTTTTCTCTTTTCTTTCCTTTCCTTTCTCCTTTCTTTTCTCCTTTCCTTTCTTTTTTTTTTTTTTTTTGATGGAATCTTGCTCTGTCACCCAGGCTGGAGTGCAGTGGTGCCATCTCGGCTCACTGCAACCTCCACCTCCTGAGTTCAGGTGATTCTCTTGCCTCAGTCTCCCAAGTAGCTGGGATTATAGGTGTGCACCACCACGCCTGGCTAATTTTTGTATTTTTAGTTGAGACAGGGTTTCACCAGGTTGGCCAGGTTGGTCTTGAACTCCTGACCTCAAGTGATCCACCCACCTCAGCCTCCCAAAGTGCTGGGATTACAGGTGTGAGCTACCACGCCAGGCCACTGTTCATTGAGATTTCTGTTACTTGCAGCCCAAAGCATCTTCACAGAAGAGAGAAGGGTCCTCCTCGTGGAACCATGTGCTTCTCATGCCCTGGCACTCACCTTGAGGGAGCCAGAGGAGGAGAAAGGGTATCAAAGGACTGGCCAGCATTAGTGCTTGAGTAAGGGGGACAGGTCTGCAGCGATCCCCGTCCACTCTGGCAGGAAGGCTGCCTCTGGTTTAAAGATTTTGAGGAAAGGGGAGTTGGGGAGGGTGTAATTGGCCAGGTAGATGGTATCTCCGCCCGCGAGGTAGGCGGCCCAGATCCCGAACGTCCCGATGGTCATGATGGTGTGGTTACACTGTGTGAGCAGTGCAAAGTCTTTGGCAGGTGAGCCCTCAATGCCATCGCCAGCAAACACCACATCACCGTGGGAGGTGTCAATGTTCTCCCGACACCAGGCCATGCCATTACTGGTGACCACAAAGATCGGGGAGCTGTAGCGAGCTCGGAACATGTCCAGGGCCTGCTGTAGGTATCGCCGGTCGGCTACCACCCCCTTCCACACTCTTGGCATGACATGGACATAGTCCCCTCGGCGAACATGGACCCCTACAAAGGTGTCCGGCCGGCTCCCGTTCACCTGCAGGCCCCGCAGGAACTTCTGGGCCTCCTCACGCACGTGGTCGTGCAGGGTGAACTCCTGGAGGATCTCGTGGCGGAGGTGGTGGTAGAAGGTCCAGGAGCAGGGGTAGCCCGTGAGGCGGACATACTCCCCTGGGATGTGGCGATACTTCTCCTCCATCCAGTCGTTCAGGTGGTAGTTCTGCCAGGGGATGCTGCTGGCCGTGGCGCTGTGCAACACCGGCAGGGTGATTTTGAAGATGGGGGCCAGGGTGCTGTGCATCTGGGCGGGGATGAAGGCGGGCCGCCCGTTCATCTTGGCCAGGGCATACAGCGTGGCGTACTCACCCATCTGGTTCCCCAGGCGGCCTATAGCATTGATCGTCCATATCCCCCTGAGCTGGCTGGGTTGCAGTGCCTTTGTTGTTGAGGCCAGCCCTGGTATCTGCACCGGTAACTCCCACATGGCTTGAAACTTCGCTAGCCGCTGCTGAATGTGAAATATAGTGGAAACCGTAAAGACAAAGAGGATGAAGTAGGCCATGGAAAAGGAGAAAGGCATCTGAGTGACCAGCATGGCTGTCAGGGGAGGAAAACAGGACACGTTAGCTGAGAGATGGAGGCCCGGGGCGTGGGTGAATGTGGCCATGCGGTTGTGTGCAGGCATTGCATGGGTGCATGTGAGTGTGCTTTTATTTCGGGTGGGTAAATACTTGGCACATACTTGCCTATGTGCATAGGCATGTATCTCGAGTGTGTTTATACAGATGTGTCTACGTTGTGTTCACCGGTGGGTGTGTATACACAGATGGATGTGTACACATTGTGTGTAATGTGGATCTGGGGATCTATACATTGTATACATATACAGGTGTGTGCAAAATTGTGTGTGTACATATACAGCTGTGTACAAATGGACATGTGTACATGGTAGTGTATGGGTGTAGATACATTGTGTACATATAAGGGTATTGTGTAAGCATGTATATATATGTCATCTAAGTGGCTGTGAACACAGCATGTGTGTATATGTGAATGTGTATATATAGGAGTATGTATATATACTTTGTGTATCTATACCTTGTATGCATTTTTGTTTGGTTTTATTTATTTACTTATCATTTATTTTTTGAGACAGGATCTTGCTCTGTCACCTGGGCTGGAGTGCAGTGGTGAGAATGTGACTCACTGTAGTCTTGACCTCATAGGCTCAAGCAATCCTCCTGCCTCAGCCTCCTGAGTACTTGGGACTACAGGTGCACATCACCACGCCCAGATAACTAAAAACAAATTTTCTAGGCCAGGCACGGTGGCTCAAGCCTGTAATCCCAGCACTTTGGGAGGCCAAGACAGGCGGATCACGAGGTCAGGAGATTGAGACCATCCTGGCCAACACGGTGAAACCCCGTCTCTACTAAAAAATACAAAAAACTAGCCGGGCGTGGTGGCGGGCGCCTGTAATCCCAGCTACTCGGGAGGCTGAGGCAGGAGAAGGGCGTGAACCCGGGAGGCGGAGTTTGCAGTGAGCTGAGATCTGGCCACTGCACTCCAGCCTGGGCGACAGAGTGAGACTCTGTCTCAAAAAAAAAAAAAAAAAAAAAAAAAAAATTTTCTTTTGTAGAGATAAGGTCTCAGTATGTTGGTCAGGCTGGTCTCAAATTCCTAGGCCCAAGTGATCTTCCCACCTTGGCCTCCCAAAGTGCTAGGATTATAGGTGTGAGCCACTGCACCTGGTCCACACTGTATGTTTAAATGTTTAAATGTGGGTGTTTATCGACTGAGTGTACATATGTGGATGTCTACATATGGTGAGTACAAGTATATGTAGCTATTATTTACTGGTGATCCAGTTTGTAGAGATGTTCGTTTTTTTCTTTTTTTTTCTGAAATGGAGTCTCACTCTGTCACCCAGTCTGGAGTACAATGGCACGATCTCTGCTCACTGCAACCTCTGCCTCCTGGGTTCAAGCTATTCTCCTGCCTCAGCTTCCTGAGTAGCTGGGATTACAGGCGTGTGCCACCATGCCTGGCTAACTTTTGTATTTTTAGTAGAGACAGGGTTTCACCATGTTCGTCAGGCTAGTCTCGAACTCCTGACCTCGTGATCCACCTGCCTCAGCCTCCCAAAGTGCTGGGATTACAGGTGTGAGCCACCGCGCCCGGCCCAAGATGTTCATCTTTTGTTTTTATTTTCCTACTTGCCAGACTCCAGTGCCAGATATATTCATTTTTGCATGTCCTGCCTGTGTCCACTTTGGAGGGAAATTGTCCACCTGGCCTGCCTGCCCTCTTGGCCACAGTCAGTTGAACTTGAGAGGAACACCCAGCTCCACCGTGGATTTTCCATTCATTGGCCATGACATACTGTATGACAAGTGTAGGCTGGCTCTAAAAGATGAGTTGTGGCTGGGCGTGGTGGCTCACACCTGTAATCCCAGCACTTTGGGAGGCCAAGGTGGGCAGATCACCTGAGGTCAGGAGCTGGAGACCAACGTGGCCAACATGATAGGGCCCCGTCTCTACTAAAAATACAAAAATTAGCTGGGCATGGTGGCAGACGCCAGTAATCCCAGCTACTGAGGAGCTGAGGCAGGAGAATCGCTTGAACCCGGAAGGCGGAGGTTGCAGTGAGCCAAGATCATGCCACTGCACTCCAGCCTGGGGGACAGAGCAAGACTCCATCTCAAAAAAAAAAAAAAAAAAAAAAAAAAACAAAGAAAAGAGAGGAGAGGAGAGGAGGGGAGAGGAGGGGAGGGGAGGGGAGAGGAGGGGAGAGGAGGGGAGAGGAGGGGAGGAGAGGAGAGAACAGCGAGCTCTCTGGATGTCTGGGTGGACACAATGCCAAGGATACCTGGTTGGATGAGTAGACTGTGGGTCTGTTTAAACCCCACTTGCCTTCTTGACCAGGGGCCTTTGTGCAGTGAACAACCTACACAACCCCTCAGGGCATCCCTGTTATCTACCCTAAAGCCATTTCCCTTTTTCTCCTTGGTAACACGTAACTTTCTGCAAGCTGCATGTCCTTCAGAGGCAGCTGATCAACTTCCCAGCTGCAGAATCTGAGGTTAAACCAATCCCAGAAGTCTCATTTCTTTTGCCTCCTATCGGGCCACATGGGTGTGTGATGATTCCTACCAATCGGAGTTGGGAGAAGTTGCTGGAAGGCTTAGGAAGGTTTCATTCATTCTTCAAAAGGGGCCAAGATAAGAACGAGCCTCTTTCTGCTGTTTCTGAAAGGAATGATCTGTATGTGATGGCTGGATGTGTAGCAGTCCTTTTGGGACCATGAGACGATCCAGCTAAGAAATGGTAGCACAGCATATGAAGATGGATGGAGCTCAGGTGACTGATGACTTTGTGGAGCTGCCAAATTAACTGACCCTGGAGCTGGGCCACTTCCGGTCTTGTGTGATACGTATGATTATGGTCTTTGAACCCGTTTACTTCTCTTCTCTCTTTCTTTCTTTTTTCTTTTCTTTCTTTTTTTTTTTTTTTTTTTTTTTGGTGGAGTCTCACTCTGTCACCCAGGCTGGAGTGCAGTGGTACCATCTCGGCTCACTGCAACCTCCGCCTCCTGGGTTCAAGCGATTCTTTTGCCTCAGCCTCCTGAATAGCTGGGATTACAGGCACGCCCCGCCACGCCTGGCTAATTTTTGTATTTTTAGTCGAGACGGGGTTTCACCATGTTGGTCAGGCTGGTCTTGAACTCCTGACCTCAAGTGATCCACTCGCCTCAGTCTCCCAAAGTGCTGGAATTACAGGCGTGAGCCACCGCGGCCGACCACACAAATTCTATATAAAGCTCCTTCCTCATCACTACAAAAGTATATCCTTTCACTAAGTCCAACACAGAATGCTGGACTTCATGACTCAAAGACACATCACAAGCTCTGGCCACAAGGTGCACAAGCTCTGGCCAATTTCAGACTCTCACACTCATGAGCTGTGTGATTTTGGGCAAGTGACATCACCTCTCTGAGTATTAAAACAGTGTCTGGCACATATACACAGGCAGTAAGTGTTGGCTATTGTCACCCACAAAGCAAAGAACACTGTTCATTATAGGCTCTGGGTGAAGAACCCAGGTTTCCCACTTTTCATATTGGGTGTATTGATAGTGGTCAAATTTAGCATTTAAACCATAGATCATAGAACAGGAGGGTAGCTGGGCACAGTGACTCACGCCTGTAACCCCAGAACTTTGGGAAGCCGACGTGGGTGGATCACCTGAGGTTAGCAGTTCGAGACCAGTCTGGTCAACATAGCAAAACCCTGTCTCTACTAAAAATAGAGAAATTAGCTGGGCGTGGTGGCATGCACCTGTAATCCCAGCTACTGGGGAGGTTGAGGCGGGAGAATCGCTTGATCATGGAAGGAAGCAGTCAGTGAGCCAAGATCGCGCCACTGCACTCCAGCCTGGGCGACAGAGTGAAACTCCATCTAAAAACAAAACAAAACAAAACAAGACAAAAAACCCACCCAGGTTTCCCTGTTTCTTTAGGCCTTCATTTCTGCAGGCTCCCATGTCATGTAACACTTGCCTTAAACACACTTGTTATGCTTGTGTCTTGTTAACCTTTTACTGTAGGTGCCCAGCTGCAAGCTTTGTGATAGGTGAGGAAAAGATGATAGTTTTTCTCACCGAAGGAAGGAAGGAAGGAAGGAAGGAAGGAAGGAAGGAAGGAAGGAAGGAAGGAAGGAAGGAAGGGAGGGAGGGAGGGAGGGAGGGAAGGAGGGAGGGAGGAAGCGAGCCTGCAGGGAGAGAAGGAAGAGGTAGGGAGGCCTCACAGAGCTAGCTGCGCTGTGAGATTGCGAATTTTTGAGGTTTGGCGAGATGCCCTGCACGGCGTGGTCAGGCACCTCTTATGTGCTGTGTGACTTTAACCCAGGGCTTTTACCTCTCTGGTAAAAGCCTGTCATCCCAACGCTTTGGGAGGCCAAGGCAGGTGTTTCATTGTCCTTGTCTGTCCATCAACAGTGGGTTGCGGGGAGGGATAAAAACAACACCTCCCCAGAGGTTGCAGTGGGCTGAGATCGCACCATTGCACTCCAGCCTGAGTGACACAGTGAGACTCTGTCTCAAAAAAAAAAAAAAAAAAAAAAAAAGCCAGGTACAGTGGCTCTTGCCTGTAATCCCAGCACTTTGGGAGGCTGAGGCAGGTGGATCACCTGAGGTCAGGAGTTTGAGACCAGCCTGACTAATATGGTGAAACCCTGTTTCTACTAAATAGAAAAAATTTAGCCAGGCATGGTGGCTCATGGCTGTAATTCCAGCTACTTGGGAGGCTGAGGAAGGAGGATCGCTTGAACCTGGGAGGCGGAGGTTGCAGTGAGCCGAGATTGTGCCACTGCACTCCAGCCTGGGCAACAAGAGCGAAACTCCGTCTCAAAAAGAAACAACAACAACAACAAAACCACACCTCCCTTAGGGCTGTGTGGGCACAAAGGGAAATGCTGTATGACATGGGCTGTCCCTGGTATTCAGAGCAGAATTAGTGCCTCAAACTCACAGTTATGTCAGCCTTGAACCAAGCACCACTGCCACTCTGCCTGAAGGCATATTTTTTGAGTTGCTTTTTTTGTAGGGATGGTGGGTGGAGCCGGGGGTCTTGCTATGTGGCCCACCCTGATCTCAAACTCCTGGCCTCAAGAAGTCCTCCGTTCTCCTTCCTCAGCCTCTCAAAGTGCTGGGATTACAGGCAGGAGCCACCACACCTGGTCTATCTTACTGAGATTTTTTTTTTCTTTTTTTTTTTTTTTTGAGACGGAGTCTCACTCTTTCCCCCGGGCTGGAGTGCAGTGGCCGGATCCCAGCTCACTGCAAGCTCCGCCTCCCAGGTTTACGCCATTCTCCTGCCTCAGCCTCCCGAGTAGCTGGGACTACAGGCTCCCGCCACCTCACCCGGCTAGTTTTTTGTATTTTTTTTTAGTAGAGACGGGGTTTCACCGTGTTAGCCAGGATGGTCTTGATCTCCTGACCTTGTGATCCACCCGTCTCCGCCTCCCAAAGTGCTGGGATTACAGGCTTGAGCCACCGAGCCCGGCCTTCTTTTTTTTTTTTTTTTGAGATGGAG